GTAAACACCTTGGATGATGATAAGGTACAGAGAATTACCTTTCAGTTAGACTTTTTCTTTTAATATTATTAAATAAGGTCCATTTATTTAAAAGTAGCAGTACTGATTGTGATAGTAATGGTAATAGAAAAGTAGCTTCAACTACTGTACAGAGGAAAGAAGACTCCGTCTATTGCCTGGTCAAATGTTTACCATGTCTATCAGTTCTCAGGAGGAATTGGAGCACACAGAGTACTCACCCAGGTTATTCTGAAATTTCAGTGAAATGTTCTGAATATGCCAGGCTGCAGATTGTGTAATGTAAAGCTCTCACTTGATAAGATGAGGTTTGATTGGCTTAATAGTCCTGGAATTCAGTCTGACTTATCACAGTTTATGATGTTAAACAAACTGACTGATGAAAAAAGACCAATCACAAGCAAGGTCACTGTGCCAGTCAGGGAGTTCTTGCTGTGTTTTAAACAGTATTTCCTGAGTGGTGTATACTTAGCTAAACAGGCAACATGTTGCTCAGGCTTCTAAAGAGGCAGAGTTTATGTCAGATGGTGGTATAAATGTTTTCTTCATGTTTATTGAATAGAAGATGCTTGATTTAAGATCCATCGAGGACTGTTGGGAGGGGATAACTATTCGCATAACTTTTGAACTCTTGAATGCTCAGTTTGCCCTTTTACCCTGTGTCTCTCTGTACCAGATGGATGAGGAAAAAGCCAGTGTGGAGGACTTGCTGAGAAGAGGAGAAGAACTGCTGCAGCAAACTTCAGATGAGGGCCAGAGGGAGGAGCTGAGACTTCTGTTGCTCCGGCTGCAAAGTCAATACTCTGCTCACAGGGTGAGATGCATATCATGTGTCCTCTGTAGAGTTTTTCTTTTTCCTCTCCTAGAAAAACACGGGATATTCTTATATTGTGTTTTCTGCTGTGTGCCGATGCAGTACACTGAAAGTGTGTGTTTGTGTCTGCTTGTCTCAGGAGCTTAAGGTGCTGCAAATCAGGCGAGCCGAAGTCTCCGTGCAAACGTCGTCTTCTCACACCTTCAGAGAGGAGACAGCTGAGTTTACAGCTGAGGTGAGAGACGAATGCAAGCATACACATCTAAGAAAGGGGAGGAATAAATACTTTGGAGTCCTTGATGAGAAACTATAGGGAGGGCTTAATGCGTGTGCCTCATGATGCTGCAGCTCATTTACGAGTCAAGTTTAACTTTCTTTGCTTAAAGTCGGTTGAGGTAGCAGCATCAGAACCAGTGAGACCAGCAAAGTGAATAGGAAGGATAGCTCTAAGAGAATAATTCAGCTTAAACTGCCAACCATCATGGAGAGGGTGCTGCATCGCCTCTGTGACCTGATGATCATCCAGTAGAGGGCTAAAAGCAGGGAGTGTCAGCTGGCATCACATTTACACTGTTTTTCCTCTTTGTCAGAGAGTGCTGTAGTTTTTCAGTGGATTTGAGTTCTGTATTAGAGTTTGATTCTCATCTTTTAGTGTTTTTTTTTTTTTGCCCCTCTAGTTACATTAAGTGTAGTTGTTTCTGATTTGCTCTCATTTAGATCTGTACTATTATAATATCAGCTCTCAGTGTAGCCAAAGGTCTTCTTAGCTTCCTGTTTTCTTTTGTAATATCAATATTTTTTATTTAATTTACACTGTATTTAGACTTTTATGGTTATTATACGCATTTATCCTTAAATAGTGTTATTATTCATCCACCCTCTTTCTTTTTGTGGTTCATTTAATTTGGTTGCTGTAACAACGAATAAGTACTTTAAATACCTAGTGTGCCACTTAATTCTTCTCATCTGTCTTGTAGGAGATGTCTGCAGTGGGGCGTAGCACTGCTCCTTCGCTGACTCCATCTGACTACCTTTTAGACATCAATAAAGTTCTTCTCGCCATGGCTGACAACGAGTTGCTGCTGAACTCCTCTGAGCTCAGCGGGGGCCTTTATGAAGACTTTTCTAGCCAGGAAGACACACTGAGAGTGAGCCATACCCAGCCTTTGAAATGAGTCTCTCTACTGTAGAAATCGTGGAGAAAGTTCTGTTTGTTTTTTTTTAAATTTTTTATAAATGTGGTTTGGTTTTGTGGAGCAGTCTTG